TGCCGGGCTGATCTAGGTCGGCCAGGTCACGTAGGCCGCGTGCAGGCCGCGTGTAGGCCGCTCCCGGTCGGCCAGGTCGGTGCCCCGCCGGGGCACCGACTTGGTATGTTGTTGCCTGGGTATTGCCTAATTGTCACGAGGTGCCACGTGTCACAATCTCACTGGAGGGCCAAATCTACCCTCATCACCACCTCTGTATTTTGTAATATCAATTGTCTGATTGTCTCCAAGCTGTTAATTAACAAAGAAATGTAATGTTCCCCATGCCAAGTGATTTAATAAGGGCCCCCTCTCACGAGAAAATTGTATTGATGTCAGAAAGACTTCTACTCTACGGCCATATGCCATACTCTTTACCCCAGTAGAGCTATCCTCTGCACTATTTTACTGGGTTTGGAAACCTCAACTGACCTTTGGGCCCAGTTGGGTTGATAAGGCCACCCCTCCTGTTTGTCACCTCTAAGTTTCGGTTACAAGCTAACCACCTTTCTTTTTCACAAGAAATAACTTGGATCATCTGGTGCACTGAAGTTGTGTTTAATTGTAGTACAATTTTCATTTGTACTGGTGTAAATGTATGCAACTAAAAAAGGATTGGGTGTAAATTTAGATATATTTTTTTTTAGATTTGACATTATCTTATTTATTTGCAAGAATTACAACAGAGTAAAATGAAGTGACATCCACTTTAAATGAAAGAGATGAAGGTAGAAGGAGGCCGGGTTATCTATCTAGGAATAAGGTCTAATGCAAGATAATATGGTCATCAGTTTATATGAAAAAGAATTGAGGGAGGAGGAAGGTGGTATAAATATTGCATCAGTTTCTGTATATAAATTTGCATTGCATGTGAATAAAAGAAGACAAAAACAAATTTTATGTCAGGTAAAAATGTAAATCATGATTTGGGTGCAAATCCTGATTTAATTTTTCTTTCAAATTTCACCTTTTTTAATCGCAGTGTAAATGAAGTGAAGCAGAACAATGTAAACCTCAAAACAAAATTAAACCAGAATTTGCATTCCTTACATTTGCACTCTCATACATTTGTACTAATATAAATAAAATTGCACTAAAACCAAAAACAGCCTTAATATCATTTAAGGGGCACTCCTTTTTTGGATTTTGAGAGGGGGGAAAGTTGGTCAATGGGATTTTGGTTCCCATTGACCAAGAATCCCATGTTCATTTTTCAAATTAATGTGGGGATTAGGGAAAGTTTGTTTTCCTAGGTATCTCATCTACTAGGTGGATAAATAACTTTCCCACCTAGGAGGAACGTTGCTAGCACTTGAATAGGACAAAATGCCTTTTTTAATAATGAATTTTTATAATTAAAATGATTATTACCTTATTTACCTGAGAAATAAAAGAACATGAATAAATGTACTTATTCGGGTAAGTGTTTTCCAGAAAAAACTTATCCAAGTAAAATAACTTACCGAAAAACGAACTAGGCCTTAGAGGTATAAATAACTTGATTTCAATGCCATATTGCATATAATGAGGCCTGAATGCTAGAGGACGGGGTATTTGGTGATACGCCCTAATCCCCCCATAGGGGTCGTGGTTTCAATCTTGTTAGACCTAGATATGTTGTAAGTGGAGGTCATCAAAGTTAAAATTGATCATGCAATGTGTGGTTGCATTGGCTCCCCACTCCTTTCATCACTATTTTCAAAACCGGACCGGACCGGATGGTCAAACCGGAAAAACCAGGAATCGGTCACCTGATTGGTTCCGTTTTTCTCCAAAATCGCTTTTTCCCCTAGATTTGTTGATTTTGATCAGCAAATTGCTGAACCGGCCGGTTAATCATTCGAACCGTTCGAACAGTTCTGACCATTTTCCAATTATTTATTTATTTATTTATTGTCAGAATGGGCTTGGCCATTCGGACCAAATGGTTAGACCGTTCGAACCGATTACCGGACCTCTGACCGATACTCGTCATACGAGGCAATGTTCCCAATGCACAGTTGATCATACTATGTGAAGAGCCGATTGTACAGGAGATGTTCATAAATCGGGTCTGGGGCTGGACCCATGGACCCACTTTCTATCGGGTCCTTAAATAAATGAATCCAATTCTCTGAGAGTCTCAGGAGTCATGTCCAACATTTGTGGACCTAGACCCCACTAGCCAGGCCACCACCCTCGTTGGCCTCAGCAGTTATTAAGATCGGGAAGTGGTTCAGTTTACGTAAGTAGGCTAAGGGGGCATGTACTTGGTAGGCCAGTAGGCTGACTGGCTGACCATAATTGTGTACGGGTGAGGCGTTGAGCAGCTAAACCACCACCAATCATAAATGCCGATGCCAAGGGATTGGAATATTGGCACACTCCAATCCCAATGCACGACTTAACCAGCGTAGACGCTACGGGAATTACTGACGTCAATCAATGGTCCCACGGTTGCCCGTATTGATTAAGGTAGATTGTAGCGCAAGCTGTGCTATTGATTTGTTGTGGGCCTTGTGGCCCCGTCAAGACGAAGACGTCACTTCATCAAAATAATCCATTTGTAATTGTTTGCGGAACTGCTTTGATTCATTAAAGTATTAATGAATGGGAGATGGAGTCCGGCAAAATACCTTCCACCAGCCACCAAATAGTTCGAGTCCTGTTTGGTTTGCGTAATACATTTTCTTTAATCCCGTAGACATGTCAATGCATCAAATCTTTCATGAATACAGGTAAAAAGAAAGGAGTAGTTGACCCTGCAACCCATTAACCAATCTCGATAAGTACATGTCCGGCGGGATGGGGGGGTTTATGGTCAATCCAGGCCCAATGTTAAGATTTGTGACTAAGGCCCAAGTTTAACGTCAAGCCCGATTTTATTATAAGTTGATGTATTTGGGTTGGGTTTGTATATGGGGTGATCAATAAATTTACTCTAAAATGTATGTATACATATGTATAAATGGCTGAATTAGGTTCGAGCTATTTATGGGCTTTGCTTGGGCCTATTCCGAAAAATAAAAATATCTTAATTCTTGGACTTGAACCTACTTGGATGATCGAAAATCCAATTCTAATATGTATAAAATTTTGGGCTTGGTCAATTTGGGCTCAGGTTGGGCCCACCCAAGTTGTACCCCTAAAAAATATTAACATGTTTAGCAATATAATTGATGGTGCACAATTTGGTTGCTCTCTATTGGATGGCAGTTCGAACGTCTGTCTGCTTATGTGATCAGTCAAACTACAAGGAAATACTATCAGAGGAATCGGGGTGCTTTATCCGGTGTGAGCACTCCGATGCTTAAGTTAGCAAAGAGTATAGTAGCGAGCTTGAATGCCTGTGGGTAAGAGAGCTAGAGAGCTAAATTGTACGTACCTCGTGAGGTTGGAAGTGATGCCTTTATATAGGCGAGCTGCCGTAGGCCTCACAAAACATATTCGAGATCTCCAGCCTATGTTACCTGAAGTTCGTTTTTCACCCAAAGATGGACTTCGTGTGAGCTGATAGGGCTTATTGAGTTCGTCCGATCTGGGCAAAATAAGGATAAGGCTAGCTGATGTGCGATGCGATCCCGAAAAGGTTAGAGACAACTAACTAACTTCTAGAAGTGGGCTATGTGATACCTCGGCAGGTCGGGACACCACGAACTGCTCGGACCTCGGTGGTTAGGCGGGAAGGGTTAGAACTTCTAACCCTAAAGCCAAAGGGAGTAAGGGATTCAAATTGGGTTGGAATATAAAAGGAATTTTATTTTTTGTTTATTTTTTGTTTTTATTTAAAACATTGAAAATAAAAATGCTAACCTGCAAATCGCTGCCCGAGTTGAACGGTTTAGCAGTCCGATCGCTCGGGTTAGCGATTTTCTGACCTTTTCAACGTTTTTTAACAATTTCCGATTTTTAATAAAACCGAACTTGGGGGCTGACTGGTTACCGATTTTTCTGGTCCGGTTTTGAAAACCATGTATAATATTATAAATATATATACTGATTGATCTTACAACTTATGTTAGTATATTCTCTCTCTCTCTCTACAGACACAGTAATTGCTGAAAACGAACTATACCTAAACTATGCATTTCCAACAGGCCAGACAGTAACAATAATGGACCCAAGGGCTATTTGCTGCTATCAACCATGCCCTATTAACATGACCAGTAGGATTGATGTAGTTTGCATTTAGCCCAGTTAGGTGAGAAAGCACAGGCGCAGGCATCCCATGAATGAATTGGCCTTCCAAGCTCTCTACCTCTTTTACTCTTTTTACCAACTATAAAACATATAAATGCCTCATTTATTATGTTTTCCCCCAAATAAGCAACCACTCCCACCCTTCTCCATTTACCCTTTTCCTGTTAACATGCCTCAACGCTGTCTTCTTTGTCTCTCCCCCCCACTTACAACTTACAAACCCACAACAGAGAATCCAATAAATTCCAGTTAAAGCACCATGGGCCCCGGCCCATTGGCCCTACCAAACCCAGTACCAGCAAATTCCTTACAGAATCTAAGCCATTTCTTACATTAATAGACAAGGAAGCGACGCTGGAATGACCAAAATCTCCTTGTATCCCTACGTGTTTCCCTGTTTCCCAGTTTCATAGGTCACGTCACATCCGGCCTTTTCCGTTTTTGTCCCTTGCTAAAAAAAAAACGAATAAAACTGTCAAGGAGATGAATCATGAACGAAACTGCCATTTCAATTTTCATAGAAACAAGTCAAGGAACAGGGACGCTGCTTGTGAACGCCGATATCTCCGAGACTTATCCGGCAGAATTTCGCGTCCCGACACAGAGCTCCGTGCCCGAAACACGGCTCTTACCCTACAAGACAAACAAGCTCCTGCTCTTTACCCAAATGACGGTCTCGTCCTCCATCTGTTTGAATTTTTTTAAAAAAGCGATGGCTGCAATATACGGGATTCTAGGAAATACATAAGGGTTTAATCGTCAAGTGAAATTTAAGAGAGACGTTCGGATACCCCAATATCGTCACCATCAATTCAAATTTTCGGATTGTTGTAACATCGGGCGCTTTTATCTGTAAATATAAAAAAATCTAAGTTCACTTCCTCTCTCTGTCTGTCTGTCTCTCTTTCTCTCGCTCTGTCACCGTTCTTCTCACCTTCAATGCTGCTTTGCGTTCACCGAAATCTGCGCCGTTCACTTGGAGAAGTAATACTTTACATTTACCAGATTTAGGGCTATCAGATTAACTTTCAGAGCTTCAGAAGCTAACACCGAAGTATCTTCTGACCGAAAAAGATGTTATTTTAGAGAGTAAGGAATACATAGCTACTTGCTGTGGTTTCTTCGCCTGAACTGAGAGTCTGCGCACCGGTTGGCATTGGGAGAAAAGATGGACGAGGAAATGGAGGATATCCTTGAATTTGTGGTTGTCGAAATCGATCTTGATTACGAGTTTGATGCTTCTCGGTACTTCGATTTTAGTCGGGATGAAACGCTTGAGGAGACCCGGCAAGCAGAGCTGTGGTTCGAAACTGCTGGGAGTTATCCACCATCTCGTAATGTTTTCTCCATTCTTTCTCTTTCTGCAAATGTGGTTTTTTCTTCGTTTTTCCTTTTCTTTTTTCTACCATTATTCGAATAGTTTAGAGTGCTTCTGATGATGTGTTAACGTGACGCTTTGATTTTATTAAATGTTTGTTTTTGCTACTATTCGATTATTTTGAGTGTTATATGCGAAGTTTATCTATTTTCTTCAACGCGTATAAGTTGCTTACGTGCAAGGTTTTTCTTTTGGATGAGAAGTTTAGCTAATCTTGGAGAACGCAGTTTATTTGTGCCTAACTACAGAAAACTCACCATTCCTCCTTGGCCATAGACTACTGCTATCTTCAAAATAATTTTTTTTATTAGTTTTTGTAATTTATTGGATATAAAAATAAGTATCATTGGAATCTTGTTTCTTTTGTTTTAATTTCTGAGTCAGTGTTTGTTTTATACACTAGTTAGGGCTCATCAGTCTCGTTTGTTTCAGCTAGCTGCTCATTTAAGCTAGCTGGTCGGGAAATTGTCTGATTCTAAACATACATCTTGCTTTTCCATAAACTAGTGTGTTAGACCTGCCGAATGTACATGCTGTTGGGTTTCTTAAGCAGAAACTTTAGAACATGGAAAGATACTCCCCCCCCTGGGAAGAGACTAGCGAAGCCCAGTTGAGCACTCATATGGTCTCAATATACCATGTACCATCATTCGTAATCTTGTTATGTCTGATGTACCATCCATAGTAATTCTCTTGTTTTCTCTTTCAGATGCTCAGATTTTTTTCCACCTAGTTTGTTGTACATTTTTTTTTCTCATTCTCTCATTCTCTGGTTTCAGCTTTTATAGCAAAGTTGAATTTGACTGAGGATATCCTTGCGGAGAATGTAAACACCTCTCCAAAGTCTAAGCTGGAGGGAAATACAAATACTGTGACTAGTGGCTCAAATATTGGTACAGGTTCAGAATTTTATGAATGTAATGAAGATACTACAGGTATTTATACTGTTAATATTGTTTTTTTTTTGATAAATGTATTACTACTATTGTTATTACTGTCTTTAAACTTTTCAACTTTTAACCAGTTCAATCTAGATACCTTTTATTGAACTCCACCTGTGGAAATTGTCCTCTCATTGTCTTATTGAACCATAACTGAAGTGGTAGTTTCAGTGAATTTGCCATTGTGGTGTTGTGTTTATTTGCTATGGTATGTGCTCTATTATCGATGGAGAATTTTGTAAAATCTATAAATAACTCTACTACCTTTCCATATTGTTTTTCTGTCTTGAGATAATGATTAAGAGTTTGTTAAGTCATTTGAGTTTGAGGAGGTTCAACTGAAAACCAACTATTATAACTAACCTCACCTGAAAAAAGTTTGAAAAAAAAAGCAATAAAAAGATGAGAAGAAAGGTTAAGAAGTGTGCATTGCTTCGATGAGAAAGCATGGTCTACCTCCATCTTCATGGTATATATGTAGGGATCACATGTCACAATGAAGAGAACCTCTTCTTCAGAGAGCAGCAGTTTTGGTATACTTGCAAAGAACATAAGATTAAGGGATTTAATTGAAGTGCTATATAGTGAAGCTGGTGTTTGCATAACAGCATAGTTCAACCACTTAATAATAAGTTTATGGGATCCCAACGATACTCATGCAGCTAGCTCATGAGCCTTTGCTCTGTAACAATGTAAGTTTGAATACACCTGAAGGTTTGGAAACTTTATAACCAAAAACTACTGGGGTTGTTTCTAAGGTGAATGTACCTATGATTTTTATCCAAGTTTAAATTCAATTACTTGGTAGTTTTATATTTCCATGTTTCGTTGCCAGATCATGAATGCATGAATAGGGGAGTTGTCATCAACTTGCCAATTGGGGATTCACAAAATGCTCAAGATGAACAACAAGGTTTAACCATGGGTTCTCTCTCTCTCTCTCTCTCTCTCTCTCTCACTCACACACACACACACAATTCCTTGATTCGATGGGATTAATTTTGCATGAGGTTTTTCTGTTTATAATAACATGACATTTATGATAGAATATTTTTTGCACGAGAGCTGTTTTTATTCTTCATTTCATTATTAAGGTCTTCATTATGATGATAAGATCAATTGTCACCCTAGGCATTTCTGCTATAGCACACCCAATTTTAGAATTGCATGTTTTTAGCGTTCTTGTCTGGGTTTTACTTTTTAAGAGATATATCTCATTTATGGTCAGAATGTTCTCATCCATATTTTAAGAAATTTATCATGTCCTTTTTCCCTCTGCATGTGAATAAGTAAATTCATGTTGCTTTTGGTCCACATTCTTTTCTTTGTAGGATTGTCATTTTTTGATCACATGGCTAAAGATATTTCAAAAGCAAAAACGAAACCTCCTCTCAAGACTGCCTTACCCAGGGCCTCAACTTTGATGAAACCTACAGCAAGTCATCTGGCCAAGCAAAATCAACCACGAGAAGTTGGTGGTAGCCGATTTTTGAAAAGGTTTCTGTTTCTTTTTAATTCATTGAGTGCATCGTAATTACCCATAACTCATATTTTAGCATTTGAGCTGACTAGATCTGTTGAGTTAGTTTTTCAATTCTAACTTTCTGCAGTAATTGGTTAGTCTTGCATTTATACAAGGAGTCTTATGAAGGTCATTGTGCTTTCTGAGTCTCCTCAATATTTTGAAATCTTTGCTTTGAAGATGGATGATATTTTCCCCCAATATTCTTGCCTCAAAGCCTGTTTCTTCATCTCATTTTGTTACTTTCTTTCTTTCATTCCTTTGTTTTTAGGTCTTCAAAGCCTATGGTTAAATATAGTGATAAAAGCTTAGAGAATTATTCTGTGATTGAAAGTCAAGCTGCAAAAAGACAAAAACTTGAGGGAGGTCATTTAAACAAGGTAGGCTACTCTTTATATGTCCACCTCTGATTGGTTGTTGTTGTTGTTGTTACTCCATCTTTTCTCTTTCTTTCTCAAACATGACTTAATTTTCGTTTAATGGCTGATTTTTCTTATGCTGCATCTTTATATGGATTGGATTATTATTTTTGTTTTTTTTTTTCTTTTTTTAAGAATCTCACTTTTCAGTTATTAAAGACAGAGGCACAGATGTTGCGATGCATGAAAGTCTAGATTCTTGAGATCTTTTATGTATGAAGCTGGAAATATTCATTTAATTTTTATTTGCATTTTCGATCACAAGTTCATCATCTGAAATGGATTCATAAATACAAGTAAAATCATTTTATAGTTTCAAGAGATGAATTCATTGTAAAATTTTATAGTTTTAACAACATTTTAGATGCTGATTTTTTACATTAAGTTCTAAGGAAAATAACCTGATTTTCTGGCATACGACTTCCAATCACTCACCAAACCTTGTTATAATGTTGCTTAATTTGCAGATGATTATATAATTCTAGATTTAGACATGTTTTTGACTAATTGGAACTATGCTGCATACTTGCATTTCTCTTGGAACATTAAGGGTTAGTTTAAGATAGACAGAAGATTTTGTATATGCTTATTTTCTAATTTAGACCTTATGAGAGTTGAAGATTGGTAAAGAGCTTTTTTGTACTGGCTTCTTGTTCCAATCAGTAGAGCAGTGGGCGAAGAGGAGAGAAGGAGAAGAGAAGGGGAGAAGAGAGAAAGAGATTGAGAGAAAACTCAAACTCATACCGGTGGCGCCAGTATTTTTCTTATATATACTAGGGCGACCGTACAACTTAAAAGAGGAAGAAAAAGACCAAAATGCCACTTGTGGCATACACCAAATATTACATCACTTATGAATACTTAATTTTTTCTTTTATCCACACCTTTTTTTATCAGAAACACAGAAATGATTTCATTAATAAAAAGAAAGCATGGATACAAGAGGTTGTGAAAAAAAAGAAAGAACACAGCTATAGAAAAGCTGACCCAACCCAGTAATTACAATTGAGCCCAATACATATGAGTTCTTTGTACCCCTTGCTTAGCTAGACCATCTTCCAAGCTGTTGGCAGTTCTCCTCACCCACTTAACTTGGATTGTCATGTCCTTTGATAGCCATTTAAGTCGCCTGAATTCATTCCTCAAATGCCATGCCATCCCCTCCCCTTCCTTCAGCCATTTCACAACATTGAGTCACCCTCAATGATTAGTCTATCAATACCCAGCTCTTTTGCCTTCTCAATCCCATATACTGCAGCCAATAGTTTTGCTCTTGACATCACTTTGTTCAGAAGGTCCCGAGTATAAGGCTATGATGTTTCCTTCCTCATCCCTAATGACCCCCCCTATGCCTGAGGGACCTGGATTACCCAGACAACTCCCATAAAAAATTCAGTTTCTTCCAGCCACATATTGGGGGTCACTTCTCAACAGGTTTCTGTCTTCTAGACGATGAGGCAGCAATAACATCCTAGGCCCTATAAAAGTCTTCAACCTTAAAATCTGAAAAAAGTTTCAAACTTTTTGCCCAGTGTGCCATTCTTAGAGTTATGATTTCTACCAAGGCTTCCTTGATTCTTTCTCTTTCTTCAAATATTCTTGAGTTTCTTTCCTCCCAAACTGTCTATAGCACCACTGCTCTAGTACATCTCCCCAAGATCCTGCCCCTCCTTTTAGTGCAGCTAAAAACAGAAGGGCTAAAAAATCTTTCCAGCTTGCCAGGAGAAGACCATCTACATCCAAAAAGGAATAAAATCAATTCCAAATAAAGCTAACAAGAGGACAAAAGATTAGGAGATGAAAGGTAGTCTCACCACTTAACTTACATAGTACAGACCAGCTGGAGGACAAACACCAAGTTGGTCTTTTTCTTTGAAGCAAGTCAAAGGTATTAATACGACCAAGAAACACTTCCCAACAGAAAGCACTGATTTTTGGGGGAATGGGAAAGCACCAAGCTTCCTTTACTAGGAAAGAAGGAGAAGGGGAGGTGGCTACCAAAGAATTGAAGAAAGATTTAGAAGAAAACAATCCATCAGGATTAAGGCCCCAAACCCTAGAGTCCAAGCCACCTACTCCCATACACATTGAACTCAACAAGCCTAACAACTCAGATACAGTAGTTTTTTTTTTTTTTTTTTTTATTGGAAGACACACTAGGAATTTCAGATTCTCTATGGTTCCTGTTAAAGCCAAAGGTCTACACCATATTTCATGCTTTTAAGGTTCTTTTCCAATTGCACGTCATTTATCAAGAATATATATTTGCATGTTGCATAGGATGGATTGGTGCTTTACTGTAGGAGTATGTTATAATCAGCTATTTATTTTGCAAAGCAGATCACTGAAATCAAGCAGCAAACTAATTTAATACACAAAGCACCTAAAAAGGTGAGTAATCTGTCCCTACAAAAAGTATTTTAAATGTTTGATCCATATACTTCCATGTCTTGCATTTTCTACAGTTTGTACTTCAGGGTATCTTGCTGCATTAAAGTGTTTATAGTTCAGTTAATGTTTTTTATTTGACAAATTTCTGGATAGTCTGTCATCCAGGATGGGCTTTCTGATTGCAATGTGACACATGGTAGACTGAAGCTCACTATTCCACGAGAGCCTGAGCTTGAAACAGCTCAGAGGGCACAAAGGATAAGGTATTTTTCTTTTTTTTTTTTCTTTTTTTTTTTAACATTGACTTGGTGTGCAAAACATGACTTTTTTAACAAATGCTTGGAACTTGCTTTCCTATTTACATTTCAGGCGCAAAAACAGTACAATGTTGGGAGAAAATGTGAAGCCAATGGAACATACATTTAAAGCACGCCCTTTGAACAGAAAGGTTGGTGCTTAATGAGCATGCTGAGATTTTCTGGGTTTTTAAGACTTTTTTGTGATATATTTTCTTTTTGGTCATTGCAGATTCTTGAGGCTCCTTCCTTATTGTCCCATCAAAAGAGCATGCCACATTTACCTGAGTTTCAAGTAATTGAGATAGATAGTTGAAATTTGTTTCTTAATTTCTTTATTTTACCTGAGTTTCTAACTTTTTCCCATTGACACGTTTCTTTTAGGAGTTTCATTTAAAGACATCAGAAAGGGCAGCTCGATTTTCTTCTGCTGCTTCATCCTCACTTCCTTTCAACAAATCTACTCAGGTAGAGCACTGGATTTATTTTTATAGAACATTAGTCAATGTATGGATAGAATATTCTTATGTCATGTAGAGTACTTTTGTTTTTTTGTTTTCCTTTCAATTGGATACTTTAAAATATATGAGTAAATAATGGTCACTTTAAAACAATAAAATGCTTTATTACAATTTCCACTGTCTATTAATACAGTTCCTCCTGATTGTTGGAAGCTAATAGGTTTTTCACTGTAGGTGTTGCATAAGCTTAACACTTGTTCCATCATGCAAAATGACACCACTGACTCTAAAAGGTAGGAGAATCTGATTCTTATCTTTTTGCACCTCAACATTAAATAGTGAAATATGCTGTCCAGTGTCATCCAATAATGATCATGTTCATGAATGATTTCTCTGTATCTTTCATAGTGGCAGAATACACAATGTCTAAGTTACTTTCTCTACTGGCTCTTGAAGGCCTTTGTCTGAAGATATAAAGTTTATTTTTGTATTTAAAGTCCAATTGTTAAATCCTTTAACAAAAATTTTACTATATAGTCTGGTTGTTGAAGTTAGTGAGATATCATTCTTCCTTTAGTGGAAAGAGGTCATTGCTGATATGGATATAACTCATATTTCCTTATGTTTTTGTAATTAGTTATTAATTCCTTTATTGGTATTAGAATTTGAAGATATAAAGCTTGGTTAATTTGAAAAGACCAAGTATCTTTTTGTATTGCCATTTAATTCATGCACTAAACTTGCCAGTTCTGTTGATGTTGCCAGACCGGTTCCTGTGGGTGCCCCCAAAGAGGAACATGAATTGATGATCAATTTTAAAGCTCGACCTCTTAATAAGAAGGTAGGATCAAAAGTAGTATCTGAACCTTATTTTCTGATATATAATGCTAATGGTCACCAATCTGAAATTAATATTATATTTGAACACAGATATTTTCAAGTAAAGGAGAAATGGGTATCTTTAGGAATAATAAGAGGGAGGCTACAGTACCCATGGTAATCTGAGGAATGCATATTTGATTCTTATTGTGTTATTCATTTTTCATTGGAATATATAGAGATGTTCTCTTTTTTCATTCATATTACAATTTTCACTTCTTTACAGGAATTCAATTTTTCAACCACCAAGAGGTTTCAGCATCATCCCCCAATTGAACTATTTAGTAAGGTGGGATTTAAACTGTAAAATTCAAATCTGCTGCTATCATTGTTTTTATTATACCTTACCTCATACAAATAGTAAGCACTTTTTTGGTATTGTAAATTGAATTGTAGCAACCTGAATTTGTGGCTTGTTTGCCTTGGAATCATTTGTGGATGTCCATCCTGCATATGTTTTGGCTGACTTGTCCTTTTATTGGCATGAATTAAGCTGTCCCTGGCATCTGAGTTGCAACAGAATACTGTAGCGCAGCAGAAGTTACCTCAGTTTACTTCATTACCAACCAAGGTTTTCGTTAATAAACAGTTCAGTGGATTCTGTAAATGCATAATCACTATGAATTTTCATATTTTTACATCATATTTACATGAATGCCTGTTATTTGATGTAAGGGCTCAAAAGAGAACAGGCTGGAATCTTTCCAGAAAGAATATGGGGTAAGCTAGTGTAACAGTTCCCATAAGTTGTCAATATGTATGTCACTTTTTATAGTCTTTTGGGTTTCTTAAAACAAGTTTTCCTGCTTTGTCTTTTATCCCTGGTCAACTTGTTTCATTCTTTCAAATACCAATTTGTAGGTGTCACATGTAAGCAAAGAGAAATCACAGTGGTTGGTGGGAAAGCAGATTCAGTTTGGAGCTAGCAGGGAGATATCTGAAATTGGACTTCAATTCAACATGAGCAGGTATACCAATCCTGTCAATATAGAGAACTGAGATTTTTTTCCTCTTGTATGCGTGTTGTATCAAGTATCAACAGATCTCTTGCATGGATTTAATTTCAATGAACCCTTCTGGTTTATTGGCTAAAGGAAAGAAGAATGTTGTGGTTTGCTCCTTGTATTGAGGGATTTCATGGTACAACATAATTAAGATCTTTGAGATCCTTGTCCAAAGAAGTAAAAGAAATATATGTTTACAAAGATTGTATGGTTGCAGGTGATTCAATAATTACTTTTATGTTGATAAGTGTTTTACTCCATTCTAGTGAACAATGAATTTGATAGACTTTCCAACTAATCTAAGTTTCAGTTGCAGCTCCCAATTATCTCTCATGCTTGGTTGTTTTCATATAATATTTTTTCTTTTAACATACTTCTCTTTTATGTTCGGTATATTATCTGCTAACAGAAGTTCCCTCACTCTCTTTTTCACGGTTTCACCTTTAGTGCTACTAGTAGGTATTATGATACACCTGCAAATATTTATGTTGTCTCTAGTCTTAATTAATTTCAATATGCTTACACTGAAAATAATTAGTAAGTCTGTTCCTAAATCTGGAGGTGGAGAGAAAACCTAAGCACATGCCTATATTTCAATCACCTACAAACCTTACTAACTCAAAAGGAAAATGATTTTATATTCTTTAATTTTATTTCCTTTGATATGGTCCATAGGGGTTTTCACGTCCTGAATACCTTGAGAAGTTTTTTCGTGCTCCTTTATTGTTTGAATATCATTTTTGCTTGGGCAGATTAGATATAGATATATATGCAAAAGAATTCAAGAACAAACAGTATATACTCTAATACTCAAGATTGTTGGCAAATATAGTGGCTACTAAGTTTGTAAGTAACATTTTGATTACTAATTTGAACCTGTTTGGCTAATTCTGTGACATTTTAACAATCATCTTGGAGAACTATGAAAATAGTAGAGTGACATACTATGTGGCTAATTAGCCTGATATATTGATATCTTGTACCAGTGTGCTAGGTATGTGCATAGGTGGTATCTGGATATCAGTTATAATAGTATCCAATACAACACTGGATACTGTGTAGACACTTCCACAGTATATTTTGTAGCATTAACTTCCATATGATATGTAAAATGGTTTGTTCTAATAAATCATACTATAAAAATCTATATTAAAAGTTTAACCAAGTTTGGCAAGAAACAAGTGTTAAGAAATGACACGTTGCTTCAAAAGTTAAATACTTAAATATTAAAGTATGATATAAACACCTTGAATCAGGTACTTGTATGTACCCATATTTTGTTTTCTTTCTTTGCATCAATCTTCTTTTTCTTTCCTTCTTTTTTTTTTTTTTCATTTGGTGGCTTCAAGTGGCTTGTTGGTAAAAATAAGTTGTTCTTTATTGTACTTTTGTATGTGATTAAAAGAATGTATCTAAGGTGCAGTTTTATATTACATGGAGAGAGATTTTACTTGACAACCCAGTTTTTTCATGAATGCAATCTTACCCGTATGACAGTGTTTGTTTGTCTGTCTGCCAACCGATGCTCAAAATCCTTTTGGATATCCATTCTATGAGATTGATTCATAATATTTTCAGGACAACCTGGATGAGGCATATGTTCTCAACAGTTGCAACTTGCAATATCACTAGGCAATCATTACTAATGTAAATAGAAACTAACTAATACTGGGAATTACCAGATTATCAATATTGTAAATAGGAAATCATAGTAATGTATTTATCTATGTTCTCAAAACTTGTTTGTAAAATACACATATTTGGTCCCACTGTGCCTAAACCTACCCTTTTCACCCTAAGAAAAGGCATAGATAGTTTTAAGAGATAAATAAGATGTACAATGTAAGGCTTGTGGCCATAGTTTAATTAGTTGATAATGGTGCTTTGTCCATCTTGGCAGCCCGAAAGAAATAATGTACAATATCATTGATTGTGAAGGAAATATGTGGAAAGGAGTCAGGCATGTAGGGACCTAGAAGCATTCCAGGCATTATGATGGTAAATGATGATAATTTCTCATCGTTTCCAACATTTAGTGAACTTTGTCAACTACTGAAAACAGTATGATAATTTGTTAACACATTTAAATTCCTATCACTGGTTTTTTGATTAGTGATTCCTAACAATGATTTGACACCATCAGTTGTTTATGACTAATCGGGAACATAAATGTTGAAAAAGCAGCGGCATTTGCTAAAGATATCTGTACATACTGTTTTCTGTTTCCTTGGTATGACTTGACACTAACACAAATTTGAGTTGTAAATATTGTGAATGTCGGGGGCTATTTTTTGTATCAACCACCAAAATGTCTTGGATGGAAAGATAGAGAGCATGCACACCAAATATTTAGGGACATACCCCAGAAAGAATACGTGGGGATCCAACGCCGGTGGACAAAAGAACAACTCAGACCCTATGCATGTATTTATACCAGTACAAAACCTGGTCTGGAGGTTACTGCCTTTCCCTCTGGTTCAACAACTCAGCAGTCAGCTGTCCAGGTCAATGGATCAATCCATTATGTCATCACTATAAAAACATGAAAAAATTAAAATAATGCCAAAACTGTGTTGAGCAGATCATATGATTCAATGGTTCAACTGTCTGGATTGTAATAACTAATAATAGAAATTGACTTCAACCAAGTTTATAACCAGGTTACTGGTCTGACTGGCCAAGTCAATAATGGGTCAATGGTTCAACAATGATGTATATTTGTGTTCCTCCAGAACATGACAATCTGTTTTGATTTGATCCATGATTTTATATGTATGCAGTAGTAACCATGTTTGAATTTAATATTTATGGGAAAATAAACTTAGTTGATAATTTATCAAAATAAATAAATAAACTAAGTTGATAGTCCCCTTTCCCTTTCAATGATGTTATTGTTGATCCTGAATTAGTGCTTGGCCTCGGAATTGTCACAGGAGTTTGGGCATCCGGTGAGGGTAAAGAAGACACTTTCTTAAATGATATCCTGCAACAGACCAGGTTTCAGAGTTTAAGCTTTTTCCATGCATACCAGTGGATATTGACGTGTTCCTGGTTTTAACAATGTGGAGGTTTTCCTGTTGTCTGTTATAGGGGCCTTGATGGTTTTTAATTTAACTGGGCTTCACATTGAATTTTTGTTCTCCTGACTTCCCAAGTTTCATACAGGTGCAGAATCTCCTCAGTAATTTCTTTCCATAGTTCAAGAAGGAAATACTAGAGGCATTGTTCATTCAGAAATCAATAAAATGAAAAGGGCTAGATTTGTACAGCTGACATGGCCTCAAGTCTTTGAACCACAGTATTTTTTTTCTTTTCTTTTAACGTATCTTACAACATAACTGTAAAATGTCAGAGAAACCACATGTAATGGTAACCCTTGATGTATAGCTCATCTTTCTGTATCATGAAGTTTTCAATATCAACAAAGGTCTTAAATTGCAGTCTTTTACCAGAATATCTGAACTGATAATTTATAAAACTCAAGAACTACACTTGAATATCAAATTATAAAACCTTATCATGCGTGCCCAGTTGCACCCTTCACAGCAAGGATGACTTGGGGGAGTAATCAACCATGCTTGTGCAATCCTTCAAACAATGAGTTCCACATCTTTGGTTAAAAAGAAGGAACCTACCATTCTTAATAAAAGGGGTGTCCAGTAGAATTATGTGTGTTAGACTATCAGTTTATGGCTCAAAATTTGGCGGAATATACATGAAACCCATATTCATGAATCATGACAAGTATTACATGACTTTGTCCTCTCAATACAATCACACACAGAACATACTCCATCATAATGTAATTTTGTCCTAGACTTTTGCCTCTCCATTGAAATCTTTGTTTGCCACCTTCTGCTTGGTGATTGAAGAAACCAAGGATAGAGGACTCTGCTTGGTCCAGCGCCTTATGTCGTAGGCCCTTTTGGAGGGCTTCTTCTCTTTTCCATAAGCTTTACCAGTGTAATTCCTCTTCTTTGTTATGGCGATGGCAAGGTCATTGGGAAATAAAGAGTGCCAAACAAAGGCATGAAGAAGAGTGGAGATGAACAGCACAGACACCATTGTTGAAGACATGAATGATAGAGTAAGTGCAAGGCCCTTACTCAGGAGACCGGGAACCTGCTCTGCATACTTGATAGTTGCCAATGATGCGGTTGTCATGGGGAAGGTATAAGACCACCAAGCCACCGAAAACCTGAAAATTTTAACAGTAAGTTAATTAGGCATATTTTCTATCCTCAAATAAGTAGAGATGGAACCCTTAAATGGGAAAAGAAAAGGAAAAAAAAAAGCAGCAGCTTACCTGAAACCCCAGAAGAAATTGAGCCGTACCACAAGAGAAACATAGAGAAATAATGCAATGAAGTAGCAAGTCCTTGACAATCCATCAAACTCACCATATATAGTCTCCCATGCGATGCTTGCTGCTGAAGGAGCTGCTATAAACATGGAATAAACTGGGTGTAGTTCCTTGGGCAATGCCTCGCTTGTTGGCAACCTCTGATACAATGTCACAAAAACCACAAGGTAATGTGAGAAGCCTACAGCCCACAAGAACTTAGCAGGTTCCTGCCACCCAACCTTGGAGGCCAAGATTGCACCAACGAAGTTCCCGACCACTGATAGATGTGAAGATGGATTTGCTACTTTGCAGAGACGCCTCTTGCCTCCTGATAGCCACTGGCCATAGATCTTGAGTTCGAGAAGGAATATGGGTGCCATGAAGGCACACCATATGGCGGGGTGCAGTCGTCCAGGTGCTAATCTGGGTGGTGCACCAATGGCAAGAAACATGCATACAATCCAAGGGGCGAAGAAGAAATTGATACGGACTGGGTGGAAGTATTCCCTCCGGACAGCTTCAAAGTAGAATGCGCACTTGAGCGCATATGTGATGGAGACAGAGAGGAGGGCAGCAAGGGCCAGGAGCCAGAGGAAGAGGTTGATGAGTGGAGTAATGTGCAGGAATTTTGTAGCTGGGCTTGTTGCCAGGTTGCGCCACAGGATTGCTTGACTGCTCAGGCCAAGACAGATACCGAAACAGCCGATTGGGAACCGGAGGAGGAAAGGCCATTTCTCATCTTTGGGGAGGAGAATGTCTTCATAGTCCTGCACAAAGATTGCTTTCAGTTGCTACCATGGTTGCCAATCTGATTATTGTAAGGTTTTACTGTTCCATACTAATTAGAAATTCTCTAGTTTTAAAGGGCTCACTGGTTCCAGGAAAAAAAACACAAATCCAAGTCACAGAGTTTCAGCTAAACCAACAACTGGAGTGAGGGATTAAAAGACATGAGAAGAATCTTTGTTTCAAAATTCAAACAGATGTTTCAGGACCCACATCTGCTGGGTCTGGTGGGCCTAAGGCAATCAGGAGAAAGAATAAGCCTGATTGAATAATCATAACCATCTGATCCATGGACTCTAACAAATTTCATGTTTATACCATCACCAATTTTAATCATAACCATTTGATCCATGGACTCTAACCAATTCCATGTTTATACCATCACCAATTTTAAGATATAAAACATTAGCTAAAAGAAGACCAGGAGTGAGGGAGCTACAGAGAGTTTGATCTTTTATGCAAAGAAGATACACTAATGTCGTTCACTTACCTTGACTTGGTCGAGTTCAGGTCCTCTCAGGGCAGCAAAATATCTCCCCGCAGGAACGCTTCTGTTTACAGACTCATCAAGGTCTACTGATATGTCAGGCTTCTGAAAATCCGTCTCACCTTCTTTTCTCAAAGGCAACATCGAATTTTGCTTGTGAATAGCTGATTTTGTCCTGAAGATATTGAAGTCTCCTTTCTTTCCATCCCCACCAACTCTAGTATCTGAAGCGAAACCTCCAAAGCTTCGACCACTCCTTGCAAGCACCCGCCTATCATCCTTAAGCGCAGCGAACCCCGTCTCTAGCGAGACCTGTCGACTGAAACTCTTCTGAGGCCTCCATGGCTCCCGGAATTTAATGGGCTGGTTTAATCGCTTCCCGACCTTGTGGCCTATCCTTGTAGTTTCCTCATTACCTTCTTGTTTTTCTTCAGGAAATACTTGATGAACATCTATGACACGGTCCCCATTATAAGAGCTCGGAGAACTTGATCTCTTGGCCATTTTTTTCTTCTTACTAACACGAAGGAAAAGAAGACAAAAGTTTCTTAGTCTCTTATATAGCTGCATGTATATGTGATATTTATTCCCGTGTTTGTGTGTGTGTTTCTTTCTGTATTTTCCATAGAAAAAGAATCACGAGAAGGAAGATTTGCTTCTTTTGGGGGGGG